ATAAAGAAAGGCAGATCATTCTCTGTCATTTGGTTCACTCTGAAAACAGTAGCATCCACTAACTATGTAAATTAAGCCATATGAGTGTGCTTCAGAGGATATGGAGTTATATGGATTAAGGAGCACAAGCAAACTTTCTTGCTCCAAAGCTCAGATATCAAGAAAAGGCCAGGACTACCTCAGATGCTCTTACAGAGCACTTTTTGGCTCCTGTTTCCCATTCCCATACACAGAAAAACTTCTGGTACAGTTCCTCTTATCCTTTTACCCTCTCAGACTGCATCTACACCACTAAATATAAAAGGCCCAGGAAAGAAGTTTATGAACAACATCTTTGGTCATCCATATTGCTTAATTGTCGTATCACTTCACAGAGGTGTTTTCACCCCTCGAGCTACTGCTTTCCCATTGAAAGCCTGGGTGTGTGTGCTGGTTTGAGTTGAAGTAGAGTTAACTTTCTTCACAGAGGCTAGTATGAGGCTGTGTTTGGGTTTTGTGCAGAACACAGAGTTAATGCAGAGATGTTTTTGTTATTGCTGAGCAGAGCTTACACAGAGTCAAGGCCTTTGCTGCTTTCTGTACTGCCACACTGGCAAGGAAGTTGGGGATGCATGGGAGATTGGGAGGAGACACAGCTGGGACAGGTGACCCAAACTGACCAAAGGGATATTCCATACCATATGACATCATGCTCAGTATATAAGGTGGGAGGAAGAAGGAGGAAGGGGGGACATCTGGAGTGATGGCATTTGTCTTCCCAAGGAACCGTTACGCGTGATGGGCCCTGCTCTCCTGGAGATGGCTGAACACCTCCTGTCTGTGGGAAGCAGTGAATTAATTCCTTGTTTTGCTATGCTTGTGTGTGCAGCTTTTGCTTTCTCTATTAAACTGTCTTTATCTCAACCCATGAGTTTTTGTAGCTTTTACCCTTCTAATTTGCTCCCCCATCCCGTTGGTGGGGGAGTGAGTGAGAGGCTGCGTGGTTCTTGGCTGCTGCCTGAGGTTAAACCACGACAGTGTGACTCAGCAAAGTTTCCTTTGTATACCCTTAGCAAGAGGCAGTATAGATGAGGCTGGATTATTTGGATTCTCCTGCATCCCAGCGCACCCCACCTTATTCCCAGTAACCTCTGCACTCACAGATCCCACAGCCTGTCCTTACACTGCTGTCCAGTGCAGCGCACTGTTGCTTCATGCCATAAGGATGGCATTGTCTGGGTTGCAGCATCAGCATGTGCTGCATGGCAGAGCTGCAGGCAGTCCCTATGGGAGCAGTTGGCACAGACAGCATCAACGTGCAACTGATCTGGAAGTGAGTATGCATTTGGCCTCTTTGGTCTCCGAGCTCCTTGGACAAGTGTAAAGGGAGAGTAGTCTAAAAGGAATCATTGTCTCTTCCTAATAAGTGCCTTCTCATTAAAAGCAGACTGCACTCCCCAGAAAACGTAGTTTTTTCTCCAGCCATTCAAAAAACAACCAGATTATTTCAGATTGAAGCATTTACTTGACTTTATATGGCTGAGTCATCTTTTTTGCAGTAACTTGGAAGAGTCTGTGGGATAACATCCTTGCAGGGCAGTCAAGCTGCTTTATGAGGGAAGCTGTAGAGATTCCCAGGCTTTGTGCTGAGTAAACAAAGTTCAGAAATACAATCTAGTGTGTTTGCCCAGAGGCAGTGCTAACTAGGCTCCTCATGCTTTCAGTGCATGGTCTTGTGTCTCTGTAGCACTGCTTCATGCTGTACACTGGAGATCTTTGTTGGGTCACATTGACAAACTCATTTTCTTGCTTTCCTGGTTCCATTGGTTCCCTTTAATTTGGGAAAGTTTAATCAGCCTGACACATCCATAAATTGAATGGATAAAAACTTATAAAGGTCATATACAAGACTTGTGACATTGTTATAGGTTGGCATTCTCATGTTGTTCATACTAGCTGTATCCTGTCACATACAGAATCCTTGCACTTGTGATATAATCATTAAGAAATGAGATGTGTTTACCCTTCCAGAACTATTTGCAAACTCAGCGGGAAACAAGAGAGTCTCTTGATTTGCTGCATTAAAATCTTTTATAGGAAGGCCTCCATGTCAACAAAGAGCAGTTCACAGCACAATATTTGGAAAGATAAGAATTTATTTTTGCTAGATAGGAATCTCCTTTCTCCTTTGAAATTTTGAAGTGATTCTGTTCATTTTTCCCAAAGAGGGAAAGAAATAAATAAAGTCTGACATGATAATCCTTCCATATCCACAGAATTCCCCAAGGTAGCTCTGAGATTATTACATTTCGTGCAAATGAAAGTACTTTTCACAAGTTTCAACAGCAGGTCACATTTTTATAATCAATAAAGTAGATGCACAGGTATTTGCAGATGTTTATATTGTTTCTCAGTTGTGAATCCATGAAATATGAGTACTAGGTATTTTTTATACATGTATTATGATTATCAGTGCAGCTTTAAAATGCTGTCTTTTGAAAGATTGACATGGATTTTTCAAGAACCCTAAAAACATTCTGAATACATTTCTTAGGATTTTTATTCTTACAGATTGTGAAAGGCTTTTTGTAATTCATCATTCACCACACTCACTGCTTCCAGTAGTGTTTTTTTTAATATTCTGCAGTGAGATCCAATTGTGCCAGTGTAGAGACTTTTTTATATCAGTGGGCCTCCAGTGAGAAGTAGCTTCAGGCCTGATTGCAGGGCAGGGCCATCTTGTTTAATGTTGTTACAGAATGTTTTTATGGGTGGATCAAATTGATTGCCATGGTAATTAGAATCTTTTTACATCAGTTGAGATATTTTTGAAACAATTTGAAAGAAAGCAGGGTTGTAAGCTACAAAAAGTCAAACACATAGTTGGAAAAATTTACTTTTTCATGCTATTTCAGGTCAATTGTTTTTCTAAATTTCTACCTTTTGTTGATATTGCTTTAAGACCTAACCTTAGTTACATGGACAGATAGCCCAAGTTGCACTCAGACTAGTGAATGCTTTTTCTTTCCTCCACAGACAGTAGTTCCTCCTATAAGACCAATCTGAAAGGATATTGTGTAGAGTCGAAAGAAAGTACATTACAGATGAGAGAAATGATGGCTAGGTGTTTGAAGAATTGAAGTTGGATAATGAGGTTGGGGGGGTTATTTTGGTTAGCCTGGTATTCCTAAAAACATATTTCTAGTACGCTTTAGTTAAGTAAAAACAAGTTTGTTCCATAAAGCTGCAAATATTGATGTGTGCTGGCAATGAATGACACATAATTGTGATTTATATCAAGAAAAAAACCCACTTTGCACTCAAGTGTCTCTGGATATAGGTTTAATATTTGATGCCTATCAAAACTGTCTAACCTGTCTAGAATGTGATAGGATACAATTTTGTGGTTCTTACATGTGGTTTTTTGTCATCTTAGTATTAATACTTGTAATTAAATCTTATGTATCATTCTACTTCATTACCTATTCAGCAAAACTGCACATTTTATTGAAAAAAAGCTGAACAAAGTTAAAAAGTAATGTCTTTTTTCAATTTTCTCCAATCTGAGTGTTTAGTGTGTAAATGTGTAACAGTATTATGTTTTGTATTTAAAGAATGGGAACTTGTGAGCAACTAAGAATCATTTCTCCAAAACTCTACATTCTAATAATATAATTTAAAGGATTTTGAAGTCTTTGAAGCAAAATCCCTATTGTAATTGAAGTGTTACACAGACTTGGAATGAAGATATGAGGTTCTAATAGGAATAGCCTTACTAATAGTTTAGTTCTTTGTATATTGTCTATCCTGTTTTATCTTTCATGTTATCACAAGTCCTGTCAAACTACTCTGGATTTTTTTTTTTTGTTTTTTAAAGACACAAATGCACTGGTACTATGTAAGCTCAGGATACCAACAAGTTCTCACAGTTGTTTGGCTGCTGTCTTCCAGTGAAACACCCGTGCAGATTAGTGTGGGGAAAATGTGGTGTGTTATAGATTAATCTCGGGGAAGCACTTAATACGATAATGAGTGAAAGTTACAGGGAGGAGTGAAAGTGCTGTTGTATCTGCTCAACTTCAAACATTGTAGGCAGCTCATAATCATTGCTGCCAAAGACCTGCCCTGGAAACTCTCAGCAAAACAGAGAGAGAGAGAAGCAGCACAAGAGGCCACATAAGGTGGGAGCTGAGCTGTGTTTGGAGAAGAGTTTTTTTACACAGTTTGGACTGCTGTGTGGAAATGCCAGCTTGCTTGCCTTTCTAGTGCTCCTCAAAAGTTTTGACAGGTTCGAGATATTCCTGTAAAATGCTTCGATCAATTTGCACCAACTTTTTTTCTATACAATAATGCTGTCAAGAAATATTCACCTATAAAATTTCATTAACTGTTTTCTCACAATAGATGTTTTTAAAGCAGCTGTGTTTATTTGTTTTCCCACTTTAGAATACAATTTGGGAATGAGAACCAAATGTTTGCTTGTTTCTCAGGGTTATCTGTGTTCTATAATGGATCTTTACACAATGAGGGCTCTTCTTCACAAATCTATGTGTCATATTTGTCTTTCCTTTAAGGACTCATCAGGTTGTCAGCCTTTCTTAAGGGCATGGACTTTCCTCAGTTCTACTAATCCTTAAAGGAAATGGACCTCATGTTTATTGTATTTGGTATCCACAGTTTCCTTTTCTTTCTTTTAAGAAATATTGCCATCTGTTGTTTTCCAGATTATGTTTTTACATATCCTCTAATTTCTCCTTCATCACCATCATTTTTTTAATCAGTTTGTCATAATTTTTTTATAAGAAAGGAAAAATCCTGTAATACTATCAAAAGCTTTAAGTGAGATAGGCTTGAAATGCAGTTATTTTACCGTCAAATGATCTTGTGTACTTCTCTTTTCATTTCAGCCTCTGGGCACATTTTTACTCACAATCTGTTATTTTGCTAATCTGGAGTAATGGCATGGTAGCAAAGCAGAAACAGAGTTAACAGATAAAGAAATTACATTGTAAGAATGCACTATGCCCATATGTGGAGAAGAAAAACTCAGTGATGCTTTTGATGGTAGAATATAGTGAGCTGGGCCAAGGTTGCCCAGCACCGTCATGTGTTATAAACACTCGGAGCAGAGAATCTGTCAGGCCACTTGTCGTGGTTTAACCCCAGCTGGCAACTCAGCTGGCTTTTTGTGCTGGTGGGGTGGTGTGAGAAACAGAAAAGGCCTTGGCTCTGTGTAAGTGCTGCTTAGCAATAACGAAACCATCTCTGAATTATCAACACTGTTTCCAGCACAAATCCAAAACATAGTGCCTAGCTAGATACCATGAAAAAAATTAACTCTACCCAACCAAACCCAGCACACCATGATCAGATAGGTCATAATCCTGGCTGGACATGAGTTGGCCTATTCAGATGTCATGGTGCCAGTTCCCTAAAGGATAATAAAAGGTGTGTTTTTAAAATTCTAGTGCTTGAAGATGAATCCAACTTTCCATGTTAATACAAATATAGCACAAGAAGGCAATAAACGATCTTTCTTTCTGTTGTTTTCAGAGCCAAATTTTGTGTCATCTTATGACATTGGGAACTTTACCTATTTTTTCTTCCGCGAGAATGCGGTGGAACATGACTGTGGTAAAACAGTCTTCTCTCGTGCTGCTCGGGTGTGCAAAAATGATATTGGTGGCAAGTTTGTGCTGGAGGATACCTGGACTACCTTCATGAAAGCTCGTCTGAACTGCTCTCGCCCTGGAGAAATTCCATTTTACTATAATGAGCTTCAGAGCACTTTCTTCCTGCCAGAGTTGGACTTGATCTATGGGATTTTTACCACTAATGTGTAAGTAAACTGAATTATATCTGTTATTTTCCTGTTGTTTGTGACAGCAAAAACTAAAACTTCCGAGATATTCTCTTCTGCATACGCCAAGTAAACATCATAAATTCAAACTACTGTTTTGCCCAATTCACTGTCCTCTTGTGAACAAGTGTCAGTTCCAAATATTTCCCACTTGAACTGTTGAAGACCTGACAGAAGGAAGAATTCTCAATATTTCCTTACAGCAGAGAGCTGTTTGTGTTTGACTATTTGTCGCCTTTTTCATTTATTCACAGGCATTATTTTTTGTTTTGCACACTATTGTAATACATAAATACATTATGTATTTATGAAATAAATATTTTTAATTGTAGTGTGACATGATCATGAATTTGACATGATGGATTTTAACCATATCAGGAAGAACTTACCTTACTCAGAAGAGCACAAAAGGTGCTCATATGTATTTTAATTTAGTCCTAACATATACTTATGTGAGTTTGTTGGTCAAGCAAATAATTTAATCTAATTTTAACTAAACCTGTTGTATGAACAAGGTAAAAACAAACAAACAAACAATGTGCAGTTTAGTCTTTGAAATCTGTTAAATATTAAAAAATTGAATGGACATAAAAGCTCCCTAGACTCTGAGCTTAATACTAAGAGTTGCCTAGCTCCTAGGGAAAAAAGGTTTATTATCTCAGAAATGGCCTTTGTTACTTTAAACATGGTATCTGGAGTTCATATGTTGCTTGATGAGCAACTTTATGTTAGCTATGGCTGTGCAGCCCAGTGTTCAGACCTCAGAGTTTCAGATTTTGGGTTCTGATTTCTAGTGTCTTGCTGTGTAAGTCAGTTTTTTCTAGAATTTTAAAAGATCCTTGGGCACCTAAAATATAGGTAAGGGCCCCTTGAACACCAGGATGCCTACCTTTTTAAAATATCCATTAACTGGGTCGAAACAGTCGCAAATTAATGCCAACAAATTACAGCCCCTGTGTAGTCTAGACAGTGAGCATGAATTTGACCTTAAGCTAGCTTTTATGCTTTTGGTGCAGTCCTTTATCAACACATTTGGCATCTTCCAGACTCAGGCTCACCCCTGGCCAGCAGCTCATGCTATGAATAAGACCAGTTTGGACTGCTTACATTAGGCTCTGACAATTCCTAACTTGTGACATCAGATAATGAGCTCAACCTGTTCCTGCAAAGGAGTAATGTAGTGAGTCTAAACACTGCTTTTATAAAGAGAATATTAGAGGCTTTGAGATTACTGAGGATAAGAGAATTTGATGTCATTTTGATCAGGAATTTAAATTCCATTGATCCGTTTTACTAGCCAGTTCAAATACCAAAAGACAGGTATTTCTCAGGTGGCATGCATAAACACTGTTCAACATAACCTTTCATGAGAAGTCAGAATAGCCTTGACACATTTCTGCTATGAAAAACCTGACCGTAGGAATTCTGCTCCAGAAAATCCATGGGGCTTTGGCCATGGAAGGGGAACAATGCTCCTGGTGCTCCCTGGGCCTTCTAAAAATGCACTTGCTAGCATTAAGATTACCTTTGCCACATGAAAGTAGACAGTATTTGAAACCTTGCTGATTCTTCCTTCTTCCCTAGTAGCCCAGCATTCTGATTGTCCAACAGAGATAGACTGTTCAAAGAGGAATTGATTACAACTGGAGGGTGAGGGGTTTTTGATAGCTTCATGTAAATTATGTTTGTTCCTGCTATCAAATGTTGTAACTAAATTTTTGAACATTGTTGAAATGTTACAGAGTTAAGATTACTTCCCCAGGCTGACTCCTGTTCATAGATAATCTGCAGAACCCATATGATCCACCTTTCAGCCCTGCAACTGGCAGTGGAGAAATGCCAGGATTTCCCATGATGGGGAACAACATATTCCTTTCTGTTGGTGTTGCAGTATCACATATTACTTAAGCACATTCAGCATTCTTCAATCTCAATATTTTCAGAATTGCTATGACTTTATTGTACCCTAATGTTTCTTTAAAATATGCTTTAATATACTCATAAAAGGAAGAAAATGAAACATTTCTGGCAATTAAGATTGAGTAACAGCCAAACCTGTACCTTTTATATGTGGTTGACTATCAAGTCCACTATAGCCACTATTCATATTAAAGCTGATTTTGTTTCTTTCAGGCTATTCAAAAAATCTATAAGCATGAGTATAATGTCCTTTAAGGACTTTAAGAAGACATCAGAATGGTTAATAATATTATTGAGCTACATTTAGTGATAGTTTATATAGGCAAGGAGTTATCAAATCCAATGATAATTGATTCTGCAGTTGTTAGCATGAAACTTCACGTTTTGGGGTTTCTTTGAAATAAGAGTGACAAGCATGAGAAAGAAAATTGCTCTTTTGTCGTGATATTTAACACGTATATCAAAACTCTTTTTCAGTTTTTGGTAAATTTGATCTCCTAGGTGTTCTTGGTTGTCTTTTTTCCATTATTTTGGAGTTTCTACAGTACGCTTTGATAAGCCTTGTGTCAATTACAGGCTAAGTTTAAAAAAAAACTTAAAAAGAAAGAAAAAAACCCTAAAGAATAAAACCTAATCTTGTCTGGATCAATTGTCAATAATTTTATCTGCAGTTGAAATCTCAGCAGCTGCCACCTTCATTATCTATTCCTTTAGCTCAAAATGTGGAAAAGTACAATGCAGGTTTCCATATTATAAACTTTTCATAGTCATTACATTATATTCTTTACACAGTGCAGGATTACTTTATTGCCATGTATATCACATTTTCAAGGCAAACCTAGGAAATTTTTTGTTTTGTCTGGCTGCCATTTATTTCTGTTTATTTGTTTAACAAAGTATCTTGTATGCAATCCAAGTTCTTTCCTCTGGATGGGTTTCTGGAACTTGCATTCTTATTGCTGTACAGTGTCACTTGGAAGACAGGATTTTTGTGGAAGTGTCTTGTTCAGAGATTCCATGAAGCCTAGAGACATACCATCCATTGAAAACCCTTACTTCTGTCGTGCTGGCATTGGTTGTATAGAAGAAACCTTAATGATTCCTGAGAATAATATTATCCTGAACTTTGTAACTAGGAAAGGGGTGTCCCTAGTACATGTGGTTATGTGTGGATGTATAGCCTTGAGGTATTGGAGCAGCAGCAGAAGGTAGGAAATTCTGAGTTTCTCCCACACCAACTACTTGGTAAGGCTGACAAATACTTTAAATGCTGTGTCTGTGCTGAATCAGCTTATCATATATCGTTATCTTGAGATGTCATCTCCTGGCTGATCATATCTGCTTAGTTAATTACATGAAGGATTGAAGAGTTATTGCCTTTTTTATTTATTTTTCAGCAAGTTGACTTCGTGTTGTTACTTAGGTTAATATTTATATTTCTTTTGCAGGAACAGCATAGCAGCCTCAGCAGTTTGTGTTTTCAATCTAAGTGCCATAACTCAGGCCTTTAATGGACCCTTCAAATACCAGGAAAACTCTCGCTCTGCTTGGCTTCCATATCCCAATCCTAACCCTAATTTTCAGGTATGGTTACGTGGGAGAAGGACAATAGTATATGTGAAGTTTTCTCAAAATGCTATATGGTTCATAGTTAATAAGTCTGGTTTTGCACTATATTATAGCTTAAAACCTGAAAAAAGAGAAAGAAAAAAAGCCACTAAAAATAAACCCCCTAGGAGGGTCCCTTATTTCAACATACTTAATTGTATCCTTCTACAAAATAATTTGTATGGAAAAGCAGATGTACTTGGAAGAGAAAAAAGACCTAATTTCAATCTTCTCTCAAAATGAAACACTTATTTGTCAGGGTAACATTAACTCTTGGCTGAAGTATGTGCTGTTCTCTTTTACATTATATTTGTACTATTAGAACCTAAAAAATGGAACATTGTCTGACAGAAAAAAGAAAGCGGGGGGGAGGTGGTAAAGGAGGAGTGGTCAGGATTTTGTATATTTTCACGTGCAAGGTGGTCCACATTCCCTGAAGAATCAGACCAAAGGAATTTTTGATGTGGTGTGCCCCTCATTTGAACTTGTCAGGCTCAGAGGGTGTAATAATGCAGTTGGCTGACAGTGTAAGAACATCTAGTCCAAGGTGGGTCATTCAGAGGAACTTTCTACAAAAAGGAAGAGGTATTTCAGGGAAGCACATGCACATTGTTTTCTTCTTCTGCATAGTCACCACTCCTATTGGGACAATTTTAGTGAGTGTGATTCTTGCAAGGGAAATGGAAGGGAAAGCTGCATTAATTTAGGGATTAACAACAATAGTTTTTCACCAATTTACTTAAGTGTATTCACCTTTATCCACTTTTCACCCTCCCTTAATCTCAATGCAATTTCGCAATTTCACAAATTCACTGCTGTTCCTGGAACAGCCTTCCCTATCTTGTAAGAGTCATAAGATCTTTGCTAACATGAAAAAGAATCACCCATTGGGGATTGTGCATAGTTTTAATTACTTCCTGATCTGTGCAAATGAAGGAAAATAAGGCACTGAATTTAATTTGTTACAGGCCAGAGCCATATTATCTTTCCTAAGTAGTATGTTTGGCATTAGCCCCAAGTGACAAGAAACCATTTAGGTAAGCCATGCAGCAGAAGCAGGCTGTATTTGTATATAGCTTTTTACCTATTGTAGAAATATTTGTGTTGTCAAAATAGTGATAGTAAGAGAGTCTATCAGAGGCTAAACCTTTGAAGGAGAAAACTTGAAAAAATGCTTATATATAAAAATCTTGCCATCTTTCTGACTAGGTAAGCAAGTCCAATAGATTTATTAAACTCTCCCTGCAAACTTTGTATTAATGTGGCGTAAATTACTGTGTGAGCACCCCATACAGAATGGTACATGCAAACAAAGATGACAGCCTGATGGCTGTGTAAAAACAGTTTAAGTCTCTACTGTACTGTTAGTGCTCATCTCTAAGTCCCAGTCAAGGCTGAGGTGTTGAAGAAATTTATTTCTTAGGTGTCCTGGCTGATTTTAATACAGTTGGTACTTCATCCAGTTTACAAGAACAGCAACAACAGTTGTGTCATATTTCATTGAGCAACAAACAGGTTTGCAGGCCAGAGCTAGTGTTAAAACCTGTCACATGGCCTTTTACAAAACAATATTGAAACTAATCAACATTAACTGATCTCGAGGTATTATTAGAGATGTCATATTTCTGTTTCTTTTGCAAATTCTGTCTTCTATTCCTCTGAATAACTTTCTGTTAGATTTCTGGCTCTGTAACTGCAGGATAATGTATACCAGAAGCTAGTCTAATGCTTAGAGTTAGGTATAACCACTTTTTGTGACTTGATGTTGCTTCAGAGTACACACTTCCTGTAGGTGGGATATATCAGTTGACTGAGTCACTGGTTTTCTTCCGAGAATAATGGAATGTTCTTTTGTATAGTCCTTATGATAAATTATCAGAAGTTCTATTTGTGTAGTGTCAGAAGTGGATGTATCCTCAAAGTATTCACCTACTCAATAATCACAGCGAGAAGTATGTGGTTTCAAGGAAGACAATAGCTATGTAGTGATAGTTACATCAGACATTGTATTTCCAAGGCTGCATTACATTAATGAAATATTTTCCAGATCAAAATACCATTGGAGTCCTAGTTTTGAGGAAAATTGTGTTTTTTTCAGAGATCATGCTTTTCATTTTACACAGGGCAAAGTCTTTGATAAGACCAAGGACCATTTGCATTTCACTGTACTATGAGCATTCAGCTGGAATCTTTCCTGCTTGATAGATTCAGAGAAATTCTATTTTGGCATAGTTTATTTTTGTCACAGGTCCGACATGCAGAGCAAGTAATTGTTTCCTGCCAGTTGCTTATTTGTCTTTCCTAATCATCTGATCTCTCATTATTAAATTATTTATTTGAGGGTGTTTTTTTAACATTTGTGGTTTTGGAGTGATCCCTTAATTTCAGATTGAAAACATGGCAATAATGAAAAAATAGCTGGTAGGGTTTTGCACACTGTACTGTATTGTTACCGCTGTAATTCATGGCATAATTTGTGACATAGTAATACAGAATGAAAATTATGACTTAGGTATGGCTTTCACATCACCCAAATATTTGATACATGTGGTGAAGTGCTGCTTTACGTCTCTGTTGCAGTTAGGCCTGAGTAAACATGGATGTTTACATATTCACCTGCATTAAACAGCTTTCTCTTTTGTTCCTCAGTTGAACACAAAGATGCTAAAATTAACTACCACTTATTTTGCTTTGTTTATTTGTGGTTGAAACCTTAGTGAACGCTTTTCTGTAAGATAAGAGTACAGTTTTCAGATATAAAATACAGTCTGTTCCAAAGCAGAAATGTCTTTGCCATGGGCAGCATTTGATAGAGCTCTGCACTGTCCATTTTTCTACTGAACACAGGGTCTTAAGAAACTGCGAGAACTGTGCACGGTACTTTCACCTAGGATTTCTGGCAGACCCTGGCTGTGGAAGGACATGGGATTTCCTGAGAAAATTTATTGCCTCATTAGCACTGCATCCATAAAATTATAAAGAAAACTAATGAGAAAACTGCTTGGTTTGTTGGATGATCATTTTTCTCCTTCGTGCCCTGTGAACATAGGATATAGAAAAATATTACTATATTCCGCTGTGCTTGTCAGTCTGGTGCCTTTCCGTGTTGTTTAGGGTTAGAGAGACTCTGTAGTAGTGTCTCAGGAAAGCTGAGCTTCCTCAATCACTGGACACTGCTTAGCATCAAAATCATACCTGAAAGTGTAGTTCTACACTACGCTACGCACTTCACTACAGTAGCATCAAAATCATACCTGAAAGTGTAATTCTACACTACGCTATGCACTTCACTACAAGATATACTTTTGGGTTTCATTTTCTTGTTATTTCTATGGTTATTGTTGACACATATATTTATGTTACTTTTCTGTGTTTGCAGTGTGGCACCATGGACCAGGGTTTGTATGTAAATCTGACTGAGAGAAATCTTCAAGATGCTCAAAAATTCTTCTTAATGCATGAGGTCGTTCAACCAGTTATTCCAATTCCTTACTTCATGGAAGACAATAGCCGATTTTCCCATGTGGTTGTGGATGTTGTGCAGGGCAAGGACATGCTTTTCCATATCATCTATCTTGCCACAGGTATGAACTCTGCATTGCTGTGATAACTGCAACAGTTTATGAGGTCTTTGGGTTTTAATGTTCTGTGAATCAGTTATGAAGTATGTGTAGTGCACCTTGAACATCAGCTTTTCCTCTTTGGCAGCATTCACTTGTCTATCTTCTACCTTTTCTGAGTAGACGAACTCAGCCATTTCCAAAGTCTTTTATGATACACTGGGAACTAAAATTCTGGACTCTGTTTCCTATTATCCTTTGAAAGTGTGAAGCCTCTGTGCTCTTGACATAATGAACAGTTGGAAATTCTACAAATGGGACATGACAAGTTTCTCTGTCTTTTATTCTTTTTATGTAGTTAAGGGTACAGATTTGCCCAAGATAGGATGGTTTGGGATCCTCTGATGCAGAAGGAACTTTATAAATAGCAAATATGGTTACTGCTATTGCTATTTCTGACCTTTTTGCTTTTATTATCTTTTAATCTCATTTGTAAGACATTCATTATGCAGTTTTACACCCTGCCTTATTATTTACCCATTTATATGTGAGTTTAGCTCTTAAAGAAAAATAATCCTCCACCTAAAACTGCCTTGGTTAGAACTATTGCCTTGTTGGTTCAAAATTTCAAGCGTCTTAAAAATAGCAAGTGTGTCAAAGAACTGTTTTTGCAGAACAAGGATATCCCCAGCTGAAATACTAGGTTGGGCTAACATGTTTAGAGTCATGGCATAAAACTTAGGATAACTCTTAAATACTTAGTCCTAAAACATTAGTAGGAGTACTTGATCAAAGCAATGGTTTGTAAATACCTGTACTTAGTCTTGTTGTGCTCCCTGAAAGCTAGACAGTAATAGAAGAGCTTTTGATATGTTAAAACTCTGCTTGGATTTGACCAGTTCTAGTCAAAACAGCTTGCTGGTTGGTAAATCATAGCACATTTAGGGAAATCATGCCGATATTAAATGCTGTTTGTATGGTAGAGGTCTGCTGACCGAAACTGAATTACAGACATGTACTAAATTGGTTTTAGATGAAAAGGCTGCCCCTGCATTGTGGAATATTTACATTAAAATGGCAGCACCGAGAACAATGTCTTTTATCATAATTCTTACTGTCTTCAGTTTTCAGTTTCCCTTACTGTATTACCATTTACATTTGATTCAGTAAATGAGGATCTAAAATGTTACACTCATTAACAAGTTGTGTTCAGGAGAGATTCCGTGCTTCTTTTTATGCTGCTAAAAAAGATACTGCTCTTATACTCCTTATGAAGTATGCATTTTGCTTTCATTCTTGTCTCTACCTCTGATTTTGGTCATTCGTGGAAGCAGGTTGCTTGCCTTAGCTGGATCTTTAGTCTGATTTCAGCACATGGTTTCCTGTAATTGGGCAGCATATAAGTGTAAGAAAGCATATGATAAAAAAAAAGATTCTGTTCTTGAAGTTTTCTTGACATAGTCAATGGTATTTCACTCCTATTTCACTGAATCACAGTGGATTTTGTTAACATTCCTTTTACCCCACTCCCTCCCAACTGAGTGTAAGTACTAAGCCTTATTTTCCAAGAAATATTAATGCTTACTTTTCAGAAAACTTTCCTTTTGATAGATTTTGAAATTACCACACGTTTATATATAAATACTACACCTAGATTACATAAGAGTAGTTTAAAAATCCCAAGATATCCCAAATTGCGCAGTGTAATCTATTTAAAATATTATGATTTGAGGAGAAAGGCAGTATTCGACCTAGCTTGGGGTGCAGATCATAATTTTGATTTCATTACACTGTTAATGGTGCACCATTTAGTTCTCCAGAGCCCTGTCTTGTGCAGAAGCTGTGGAGCAGTTAGCATTGAGTTTTCATCCTAAACTGCATGTGATAAAAGATTACTGAGAAAAATGCCACTGTTTCTGTAAACAACAGAAACTAATAGGCAGCAGCCTGAACTTTGAAAATAAACAATAGCCTTGGAAACAGACCAAGTTTAAGAGTTCTGAATTTCTCCAGTGTCCAGCTTTTCTCCTGCATACAATGTCATCTACCCCAAGCTTCTAACACTATAAAGCATATGTATGTCTGGGAGAGGTGAAAGAGTGGGCTGATAGTTACTGCCAGCCTGTGAAATTTAATTATTGTATCTTTTCTGGTTTATCTGCATTATTAAGAGTTGTGGCAAATTAAATTTGCAGTTAAATTTTAACCACGGTGCTCCGTCTTCTAAAAAAAGCCGAAGGAACAAAAACTGCTGTGTAGTATGTATGAAAGATGTGTAGATGTGGTGCTTAGGGTCATGGTTTAGTGGTGGACTTGGCAGTGCTGGGTTAACGGTTGGACTTGATGATCTGAAAGGTCTTTTCCAAGATAAATAGTTCTATGATTCCATGACCTGGGGAGCAAGTCTGGTCTCCATTTAGTCTCTGGGAAAATTAAGGAGCACACCTCCTTGGAGCACATTCCTCTGGGACACATGATGGAGAAAAGGGTGATTGGGAACATTCAGCATGAATTTCTGAGAAAAGGGTGATTGGGAACATTCAGCCTGAATTACCCAAGGGTTAATCACATCTGACAATCTGATTACTTTCTGTGGTAAAATTACTGGATTTGTGCATGAGGAGAGAGTAGTACCTCTACTTCAGCAAGACTTTTGACACTATCTCCCACAATATTCCTATATCCAAATTATGATTTATGGTTTATGTGGGTGGACAGCTGGATCTATGTAACCTGTTTGGATGTCACACTCAGATGGTGGTTTTAATAGGATGTAGAGAAGTGATAAGGAGCCAAATACTGTCCTGTTTGACGTTATTTTAATCAGGGATCTGGAGGAGACAAAAGAGCAGACTCTATCGAGTGTGCAGGTGACACCAGACTAGGGTACCAGTAGTCACACTGGAGAACAGCAGTACCATCCAAAGGACCTAGACATGCTGAAGGGGTGGGCTAGCAAGAACCTCACAAAATTCGACAGGTGCAAATATGAAGCCCCAAATCTGGGGAAGACCAGCTCTTAGCACTGATTGTTGCTGTGGGCTAACTGTCTAGGAAACAGCTCTGCAGAGAGGACTTGGGCACTTTGGCAGACAGCAAGCTGAATATATGCCAAGAGCATACCATCACTGCAAAGACAGTCAGCAGTGTCTTGGGCTGTATTCACAGGAACATAGCCAGTAGTTCAAGGGAGGAGGTTGTTCCAATATAGTTTAGACCATATCCAGTTTTAGCCTCCTCCAATACAAGGACATGGATAACATGGAGAAAATTCAGTGGAGGGTCACCTTCTGCTGGAGGCTGGAGCACCATGCCCTAGGAGGAGAAGGGCACTGGCTTTGTTCATCCTAGAGGAGAAAAGATGTGGAGGAATGGCTTAGGGCTAAGG